ACTCAAACCTGGGGTTGAGGTCACAGGGTGTCCGCGCATCCTTAAAAAGTTTTACATGTTACTACTGGCAGAAACCATGAAGCAGACGACAGGAAGTGGTAGGAGAACGATGGTTTGCTTTCATTTTTTCTGACAACGTTCAGCCGGCTCCACATGAGCTCTCATAGCATCACACACTTAAAAAGTTTTATAGATTTATTGTATTGAATTTACAACTATTACACCTTCCCCAAAACTCTGCAAACACAGCCACTCCCAAGTAGGCAGGGTTTGTTCATCTAATGGCTGAATGAGACGTCGACAACTTCTCTGAGTGGCTGATAGACGCTATGGCTGAATTTTAAATTCGTTATTGCCATGATTTTTAATAACTGGTCATGTGAACAAGCTTATTCTCCTGATTTTAATGGAAACACAGAAACTGCAAAGTTATGTTGTTTTTTTTAAAGTAGCAGACTATAAACAAATATTTGCACACATTTGTGTTGGAAATACAGCTACTCTGAGTAAATAGTAACAGTAGCAAAGGGAACTTAGGGGTGGAGTCATCAGGACTTCAAACCTTCAACGGCTCACTCGGGATCAGGAGTCTGTTCAAGCTGAACTGAGGTGAATGTGTGTTTAGAGCAGGATGTATGTAGCCAGCGCACAGAAACACACACACAATGAGTCATCTGCCTCTCTGGTCTCCGACCCCCTTTCAGGGGCCGTGCCAACGTTCTCGGCCGACCACCGGGAAAGCATGCTGGGTTAGAGCCACGAGACCCTAACAGCTCTGCCGTGAACCTTAAAAAACGCAGGGCTCCATCTGCGCTGAGACCTGAGTGTGGGAGATCGGGCCCCTACACCGGCCCATTTAGGTGACTGATAGCTCCGCAGATTTTCTTAAAACAGCCTCAAATTATAAGATGCAATTAAGTACCCCCAGAACAATTACAACAGACCTCTAAACATGTGTGTGACTGAGGGTGTTTCGCACGTCCTTTAGCCTAACGACTCTCAGATGATGAAGAGTGATTTTTTAAAAATCCGTCATGATGAAATAATGTCGGGCCAACTCTAATTTAGGATTAAATTTTGAAACAGTTCAGTGACTGTACGGTTTAGGTTTGGTACAAAAACTGTACTCTTGGCTGGAGCAAGGTCCAGGAAAACCACAAAACACGGATGGTACATTGCACAAGGCAAAGGTTTACTTTACTTTCACCATGTATTTATTTTACCAGGATGACCGCTGTTCTCAAAAAAGTCACATGTACATTCCAGTCAAATGTGTTCCAACATAGTGATAGCCTATTTCTGACCTATAAAAGAAGTGTCTAGTCTAACTTTCTGAGATGTGGCCATATTTATTATTGCTGCTATTTGTAATGACTTATCTACAAGGATAAATACCATAAAAAATTATTACAGCACAGGTCATACATTTTAGGATAATTCAACAGAATATTACAGGGGATTATAATTATTTCATACACTAACTCAAAAGTACAATAATAAATTAGAAACTGTGAGGTTCATTTATCAGATTAAATGTACGTTTTGAAAACTGACAACTTTAAAGGAGTTTTCATTAAGGCTACGTTTCTACATTTGATGATCTAATGTAATATCCTAATTTAAAATAAATTTAATTACATATTTTGTGAAAGCGGAAAATCATAATTAATAGAAATACAGTTTTCCCAACATCCATCTGAAATATACGTGAAGTATATCATTTACTTCACTTAGTGATAAAAGTTTCCAAAATAAACTGACATATTCTAATATACAAATACTTCTAATATTTAGAAGTATTTGTATATTGTATAATGTTTTTGAACTTTTTAACACTTTGTCATTTAATGATAAACTCCACTGTAAAACATCATTTTTATTTAACGGTAAGCTTCATCTAAAAGGAAAGTTTTGAACTTGGCGTCGTAGTCAGTAGTCAGGACAGGGTGCCTCCATGTCTGCCTGGCTCTTGCTAGCTCTTGTGGAACCAGCTCCTCTCTTGAGGATCAGTGAAAGGCTTTTAAATTCATTCTGTGGACTTCCTGACAGTAAAGAACCACAGTAGTCCAGCCTTGAACTAAAAAATGCCCAAACGACTTTTTTTTGTTTTTTTACATCACATAATGCACTTACCCACAATAGCTCATAAGGATGTTCTAGCAGATAGTTAGCGCCTTGAGTTACATAACGTAATGAGGATGTCTGTGTGTGACTCAAGCATTTGCCTGACAGACAATCCCACAGGAAAACCTACAAAGAATATGTGAGATGAAATCATTCTGCAACTAAGACCAGTGATTAACATATTTTAAGTCCTTACTTTTAGATACTTGTATTTAAGACTTTTTAAGGAGGCAGAAATACCCTGTGACTGGTTTGCCACAACTACATCATCCAGAAAAAAACGAGGGTTGCTTTTGAAAAAAACAGGTTCTACTAGCTGCTTAATTATTGAATCCAGTTTGTTTTCTAACCACTCTGACTGGAAAACAAACCAGCATCTAGTTGACGTTAGTTTGAACCGCCAGGAGTCACATAACGCATTGATGTTAGCCTGTGAATCAAACTTTTGCCTGACAGAAAAGTCCTGCCATGACTCAATTTAAGACCTATGATTAACAAACATAATGCCACATTTATCAAAATGAATTTAAGGCCCTAATTTTAGCTACTTGAATTTAAGACTTTTGAAGGATGCACAGATACTCTGTGACAGGTTGGCCACAACTGGGTCATCCAGAAAAAAATTAAAGACATTTCTGCTAAAGCATTTCAGCTATTTGCTGTTTAATTATAGACTCAAGAGTCACAGTGATATCTGCAATCTTCCATATATAAAGATAGAGACCCATTGGTGATTTATCCTATACTCATCAGACAGATCTGAAGTCTAAACTTTAGTCCACAGCTTCAATGGGTGACCAGCTCTTCAACAGGCAACGGTGTGTGCCCCCCCCCCGCAATCCTATTTGATGTGAGCGAGCTGTCTGGTCACATGCTGATTCGATTCAAATTCCCTCTCTGCCAGCACGTTCCCAGAAGTGTTTGAACTTCTTATAGCAGTTTTAGTGCAACAGGGTCCATTCAGTTCTTTTCCTCTCATTGCCTCACAAACTCCGTAAAGTTTCACTGTTACTGACCATCGTTTCCCCAGACTGTCATATCATTTCATTGCCCGTTCAGCCCACTCCTCCAATATATGATACATCTACACCGTTGGCAAACCTTTGACTTTTTGATGTGGTGGATGACAACGCCGGCCCTGTTCTGGTTCAGGTAAACAGAGAAGAAGCAAACAGCTGTGTCAGACTCTCTTGGTTCCAACTCCATCAGAGATGCTTTTTCATTCCTTTCCAAGGATGTGAAAACTAACTCGGTTGGTGATCTCTGGTGAGTCAGTTCTGATCGGAAAGAAGTCTCTGTGCATAACTATGAATATCGCTAAGTATCATATGATGTTACTAGAACCTTTTGGGTTCATTTACAAGGATAAGTTGAATCTCTTTTTAGACCCCATCTGAGGACTGAGTTCAGTATTCGCAGATTTTTCTGTGGACTGTAACTCCTAATTATACATTTAGGATATTTGCATATTTTTTTAAAGATAATTCCATTCAGGAAGTTGAACTATTTAGGCGTAATGCCAATTGACTAGAATTTCCAAAGTAGCCAATCTCTGAGTGTCATTCATCTTCCCTGGTGCTGATTAACAGTAGCCCTAAGGGCAGAGTTACCCAAGACTGTTTCCACTGTTTGTATTTGGGAATATGTGGTGTTTGAATTGGGGCTGAACAATAAATCAAAAGTGTATATTGCGATAGATGTGATAAATATCAGCACATGACACGTTTGATAGATTTTTCAATAATTTCACTGAGCTTTGATCCAGAACCGCACAGTATTCTGGGGGATGTAGGCAGAAGGAAGGCTTTAGCTAACTAAGGTTGGTGGCCTCAACTAGCTCACTCACTCTTTGGTTACCTAGCAACAACCTGTTAAATACCATGTGCAGCAGCAGTTTTATGTTTTTCCGCCATGCTTCATAACTGTTTAAAAAAAAAAAAATACAGCGTGGAGTGGAAAAACAGTTAAGGTCAAACCACCAGTTTGGCAGTATTTCAGATATGTCAAACAAAAATCTCAAATAATTATCAGTAATAACATATGAAAATCTTACATCTTGATATGTTTTTCTGCCAAATCGTCCAGCACTAGTTTGAAAGATTAAAACAGGCAGGGTTAAGCGATCGTTGTGTTTTCAGTGCTATACTGTATCCACTTGATGCTACTAGAGTGTGCATTTGTGCTATGAGTCAACACAAACTTCTGTTTTCTTTTTCTCCCAACATCCTTCATCTTCATACCTTTACCATCAGCATCCCCTCCCTGCACCGGCTGGAGTGCGTTTCATCTAATTTTCCCAAATTAGCCTCATTTCACTGTCAGGAGTCTAATGATGCTAATTAATTAGCCTGCCCACTCGAGGTAAAGAGATGTCCGTCACCCAGATATAGTATCCTCGTAAGGGTAGTATATGTACAGACCAGGAAAGTTGGCATTTAGATTACTTATCTTTCAGACTGTTCAAAAAGTGCTCAAAAAAATAATACGAACTTAAAACAAAGTATAACAGTAAAAAGTCTGAAAGGGGACAATGTTGCAGCAAAGCAGAAAATACATACGCACAAATCAACAATAACATCTGAAAACAAGTCAAAATATATCAGAAATTTCAACAATAAGACTAAAGAGACAGAACAGAAGGAAAGAAAGTACAATTTAAAAAGCTCTTTAATGTGGAAGAAACTTAAATAATTTGGATATGAAATGTGAATTTATACAAAAGCAGGAAGTGGACAGGGCACTGTGGGTAAATACAACCAAAGCACAGGTGTGATTTTAGCACTAGTGCGAGGAATGGCTCACAATCTTTAGCCAAAGACAAAAAAATCCTACAATCTCTGAAATCTTACTACATTCATTTTTTTTTTTTAAACATTTTTTTAAAAAAGGAAGTTGTTCCTTCTTCACAACTAGAAGAAGACACCTCAGTGTCTTCTGAGGTTTTTATGTTGTTTCCTCTCGTGGTTTTTGGTGCAGCTCCACCACAGGTGAGGAGGTAAACAGGTTTTTCCAGTTGGCTTGGACTGTTTGACACGGTGCAGCGTGGAAGTGAACAGAAGCAGCTGAAAATTTAACAAACGCCGTAATTTTGGTCCGCAGTCGGATTTCAGTAAAAATCCCACTGCGGTTACCTGCCCAACATATTGCTACACACACTGCTGAAGTATCCAGCAGAGAAAAGCCTCATATACGTCCTGGAAGCTCCACACATCAAATGGCAGTCAACATGATGCAGTGATGAATGAGTTAGACTCCGACTTCGCTTCTGTTTATTTTCTGGCAATCAGGGTAGACCGGCCTTTCTCTGCGGGTTTTGATGTGACATATCTAAATACTGCCTGATGAAACACTTTGCTCTAGGACTGTTCTCAAGATTTATACACAATTTGCAAAATATCAAGAACAGAAAAGGTTAGCGCTAATACAAATGTACACAATGTTAGCTGGCTCGCGCTTTTTGTAAATAAATGTGACTCAGTAAGAATAGGGAGCGAATTAATGTGCGTGTGTGTGTGCATGCGTGTGTTAGTGTGTGTGTGTAAGAAAGAGTGGTTGTATAAATCCTTCCACACATTGTTCTTGTTTGCACAGACCTTAGCAATTTGTTTGACTCTGCTGCTATTGAGGCGAGTCATGCTCGCAATCTCTGCATCTGTGCGGCTGAGTGCGTGCGCGTCGTGCACGTTGGGGCAGAGAGCGCCCATGTCAAACGTCCCCTTCCGTAAAGCCACAGGATCCATCTCATGCGGTTTGAGTCACCAAGTCTGGAGAGAGAGAGAGAGAGAGCGCTGTGCAGCCCCTGAGTTATTCCCCCTGTCTGATTTCTTCTGCTTTCAGTCTTCATTTGGAACCCCGCTCCAATTTTTAATGGCTTTTTATCTGTTTTTAGCTTGGAAAAGGGGAGACTGAGCTAAAATATCTGTAAACTTTGTGTCAGATTTTTGATTTATTTACAAGTACGGAAATGAAATGGCGTCTTTTCCCTCTTAACTTTTTAGCTCATTTTGTCATCTACGGTGTCCTGGGAGTCTTGTCACTTATTTTCTTTCCATAACTGTCGACTCTTCTTGAACTTTCCCATGTTTTATCATGTTGCAACCACTAATTTTAATATATTTGATGGGAACAGACCAATGCAAAATCTTTGTATAGTGAAGTGAAAGGAAAAATATAAATAACATACAAAGAAAAATCTGACATGGATAACCCTAAATAAAATCCAACACAACCACCTGCCTTCTGAAGTCTCCTAATTAGTAAACAGACTCCATCTGTGTGTGATTTAGTGCCTTAGTATAAATCCAGCTGTTCTATGTGGTTTGTTAGAGAACATTAGCGAACAAACAACATCGTAAAGACCAAGTAAAACAGCAGACAGGTCCTGGAGAACATTGTGGAGATGTTTTATGCCTGGTTCACACAGCAAGATTTTGAAATTGTCGGACGATTTTCAAAACCTGAGAGACCACACGCACGACGATAAAAGGTATAACAGGTTTGGTCGTACAGTGTGTGTTGTCAAGTAACACAAGAACCAATTTCACTCACCAACATTCATCTGTGTAGTTTTGATAACTAGTCTTACTTCCTGTAATAACCTGAGCCAATGGGAGCATATAGATATTAAAGAAGAGGGGCCCCAGTATAGGAGCATGGGGTACCCTCTATGTGACTTCTGTCCTCTTTGAGGAGATGTCTTTGAAACAAAGACATCAATTTACCTTTATGTAAAACTCAAAACAATTGAGTACTGGACCAGGTGTAACAGTTTTGGTCGTACAGTGTAGGGTGTGAAGCCACCCCACACACAAACTGATTTCACTCACGACATCCAGATGTCAGGTGGGAAATCTCACAAAACCTCTCGAGACCAAATCTGGGTTCAGAGTAAATAAACATGGCTCACTGGGAAGACGCAATGGCGGTGCTAAAAAAAAAGAAAAGAAGATACAAAGATGTCTACAAAGTCCACCAAACTTTCTGAAATGCCATTATTTTGTCATCTGTATTTAGGATTTCCCCCCATGTTTCCTGAAATTCACTGTCTGATTGGCTACAAGTCACATTTTGGCATCAGTGATGCAGTATTGGGCAAAGACAATCCAACATGTGTAATATCTCAAACTTTTAGAGCGGAGTGGTCCTACTGTCCTTCGAAGCAGACCAGATCACTCTGAACATACCACACACGGCACAAATATCTTAAGATTGTCTTGAGAAGCATGCAGTAAATCAAGACATCCTGAAGACTGTTGGAAAAGGGAAATTAGTACAAAAATCGGCACAAAAATCTTGTCATGTGAACCAGGCATTAGCCTTAATCATTGTTCAATCCATTGTTCCAATCCAGACATAAATTCAAGCAGTTTAAAGAAAGCCAAGGATATTCTAGATTTGGCATTGTATGGCAACAAACTGTCACTTCACATCACCAACACAAGGCATCTTGTCTATGAAACATGGACAGATGGCTAAAAGTAACCCCTGAAAGAAAACCTGGTAGAGTGCAAAAAACTTGAACCTAAAGTGATGGTTTACCTTCCATCAGGAGATGACACTAAACACAAACCCAGAGTTATGATAGAAGGGTGTAGGAACCCCCACTAGACTGTACCACAATGGTGGGATTGGAGTTCAGGTGAATGCAGGCCTATGCATGTGAGTTTTCTCTGTTTTTACTTAAGGAAGAAGGCAAGAAAGATTTTGCAAATGAGCTAACCAGGTCTTTTTTTGGGAAAATGGCAGAAAAATGGGACAATGTCGTTCATTACACCCGAGTAGTCAGAGAGAAAAATAAAAAGGTGACAGTGTCCAAATGTCCAGTTCTCTCTCTAAGCCAATGTTAAGAGGTGCTGCTTACATCATGGACCCGTCAGTCACTCAGGGAGCGTGCTTACATGCACAGACTGAAAAAAGCTAGCGGACGGTGACTTCACTGCAACTGGATTCCAGCACCTCTGGCTGCTACGTGGAAAAACAAGCCAGGTCAGCTTGTGAGGCTTCATTCTGCACGTCTGCCACCTGAGGAAGACACCAAGGAAAACAAGCCAACACCGGTACGGAGACCTGTTTTTCCCGCACGTCAGTCGCCATGCCTTGTCAGCAAATACACATATGATGAAATGCAGTTCGCTGAATAGCTGGCCAACTGGTGCCATAGTGAGCTGGAGCCCAACATAAACACAGACAGGTTTAAAACTAATGGGGCATTTCGCTTTAATGCAGACTCACAAGCAAACAAGCAAATAAACTTCTGTCTTCATTACCACTGAGGCTGTTCCTGTCATTTCTGCGGAACAGTTCTTACAAAATGTAATGGCTTTTGTTGACGAATGAAGCTAATTTCCTACGAGAAATTACTTACTCATGTGCCTGCAGAATTTATTTTTGGTTGCGTGAACGTTGACTCGAGCACTGTGTGTAGCATGACAAGGCGAGTACACTTTCATCTGTGATTGTGAAACAAAGATTGTTTTTAAACAATTTTTCATGTTTTCTGGCTCTGCGGTTGAACCGTCCTCTACGCGAAACAATCTTGTCACAACTGTGGTCTGTGGCAGGAAATCAAACTTAGTAAGGGTGGCTGCAAGTCTGGAAGCAGATTCATCATGGAGTTGTTTTGGGGGATTTTTAACGGATTAAAATGAAAGAAGGAAAAAAAGAAAGATGATGTTTGTTGGAACATTGCAAGGGCTGGTTATATAGTTTGTATCAAAAAAGAATGTTTACTTCAACATTTGAAGTGTTTATTAAGTTTGTTCAAGTGTTTTTTACATTGTGAACACTTCAGACTGTGACAAAATTGTTTGATGAGTCAAATGCCTGAAAACACATTTGGTGAAGTTGTTTTAATTGTCCCCTCTGTCAAATTGCTACCTTTATCCAGCAACAGGAGGACACAGAATATGCACCTTCCCATCATCTCCCCAGTGACTGGTTTAAGGAATAGCATTAAAAACAACATGTTAGGGTTGGTGTACAGCACGATTAATAAAACCCAACAATTGTGAACATAACACGTAAAGCAATTATTTTTTTTTTTTTTTTTTTTTTTTTTTTTTTTTTTTTTTTAATTTTTTTTCCCCTTTTAAAAAAACCCTGGATTTTTTCTTTTATTT